CTGGCGTTCCAGCCAGGAAAGCAGACCTTGCTCAGTTCATTGTCAGTTCAGTTTTGTAGTCCAAAGCACTGACACAGCCTCTCTAGCACCACTACTGGGCTGCTGCACCTGCTGACTTCAAGTCCCACAGGCAGAATGATGAAATAAATCTACAGTGGCTGTAGCAAATTCAGCCTTACAGAGCACAAGGAACAGCAGCAATAATAATCCTGTGCATAACTGGCTGTGGAGAAGACAGCCAGAACATTTACTGCAAAATGAAGTTATTCATCAATTTTCCTCCTTTAAAAAAAGCAGCTGATTATTTCCCATAAGGTCATTTAAGTTGCCCAACCAAAGCACAGAGCAGTATCAAGGTTTTTGAGCTCATTTTGCCCAAGCAGCCAAACTCTGCACTCCTTTCTCAAGGCAGTCTCTCAGCTGCTGCTGCCTCAGGGGCTGTCTGAGTGGGCAGAAACATCCAGCACACACACACACTCCTGCTCACTTACACATGCCCAAAAAAGCAATAGCCAGAATCCTCTTTCTGGCTGGCAAAACCACATCAGTAGGATGGGGAACTTGTCAAAGCTCCAGATTGCTTGAAGTCACCAGTTTAACACTGCAAGTGATGGTGCTGGGTTAGTGCACGGGACCTGGAGCTGCCTGCAGGGCTGTCAGCCTGATTACTGGGCTGAACTGACAGGATAAAACCCATCAGTCATCCTCTTCCAAAATCCACACAAGCCAGGATGCAGCTCTCAAGCTTAGAAGAAACAGAGGCTAAGGTTTAATGGAATCTCCTGGCCAAAGTAAATATTCTGTATTAATTCCTCAGCAGTGGGATGAATGAGAGGAGGAAGTGGCATATTACACTGCAATCTATTGAACTGGGACTGAGCCAAGCAAAATGTGGGACTGGAATGAATGCTCCAGCCAAGGTATCAGAGTAAGTCACTGTAAATCCTGCCCCTCAGACACACCAGGGCTCACAGCCCCTGGGGGAATTACTTCAGTTCCACACAGGCAATAAAATATCTAGAAGATATCTTATCAGATGCTCTTGCCAGGCAGCCCATGACTACAGCTCTGATTCCTTGATTTCCTCTTATTTTTGTACAGAACCAATGATCAGTGATTCCCTGATCAGCTCTGGTAGCAATTGCACTGTTTGACCTGTCTAGCACCAAGGGACCACTGCCTTTGTTGTGCTCCTTTAGGCTGTACTGATCTCCCTCTCTGCAGCTAAAGGTGGAGAGCAGGCCTTCCTCCCACCTTCCAGGGGAGCTGTGGGTGCCCCAGCAGCTGCCCCTGCTCTCAGCTCAGGGCTCCAGGCTCTGCAGCCAGAGAGGGGCAAAGGCAGAGCTCAGAGCCCACAGCCCCAGCAGGGCAGGCAATCAATCCCCAGGGAAACAACCCCACAGCCCAGCAGGGCAGAGCACAGAGCCTGTGCAGGGAGGGGCTGGCACTGATCCATCACCAGGAGCAGCAATTCCCACAGATTCCCCTCAGGTCACTGCCACACACCAGCACCAGTGGGTTTGCAGCTGCTCCTGGGAACAGCCTGCTGTATGGAATCAGTGCCCTGAGGCAGCAGCTGCACAGGAGACCAAATGAATTCATCTCCTGCCAGAGCAGGAGGAAACCCAGCAGCCTCCCACTGCCCACAGCAGCAGGGACAAACACCTCCCTGGGCCTGGCATCCTGGCTCTCTGCTGAATTCTCTTATTTCCCTCTTGCTTTCACTCATCTATGGGCACAGGGACCCAGCAGAACTGCAGACCTGTGCCTGTGCACAGGTTTTTATTCCTGGGAGGTCAAAGGCACGTTGGGATTTCATCCTTTGTGGGGAGACAGAATAGTAGGGATGGACCTCACCTGTGCAACAAGCACACCTTTCCCTGCTGTACTCCTGCCCTCTGGAAGCCACTTGTGGACCAAATCTCCACAGACCCACACAGACAAGCAGAATTACATCACTGGAGGGCCTGCCAAGCCCTGTCAGATGGGTCTGACAACAGGCAATTAAGTCTCAGGCCATACATTTATCATGGGAAACATCAAGGACGTGAGGGGCACTGCAAACATGGAGACCTCTGCACCTGCCAGAGCCAGAACAGCCTCAGAGGCAATACACTGACTGCTGTAATCCACATTTCTTTCAATATGCCTCAAACCATTCATTTCACTTAATTAGATGTTGGATAAAAATAATCCCACTTCCCCCCAGACAGATTAGGCACATGCCAGCTCTCCATCAAGGCTCTCAGTTAACACATCTGATAGCAAGACTGGCAACACTGATAATATCTTGGCAGTATTTTAAAGCCTGACTTGCAATAGTATCTATGGGCCTCTGGTTAAGGAAAACCCAGCCTTCCTCCAGTTACAGAGAGGAGCTCCTGTCTGTGGGTTACAGAGTCAGGGCTGGAGGAGCTGGGCAGTCCCTCAGCTCCTTCCAGCAGGCATTCCTCATCTCTGGCAGTCCCAAGCCACCCAGAGCCCTCCCCAGGCCATGTTCCTGCTGCTCTTGTGGCTCAAGCACAGCAAGGCTGTGCCCAGAGCTTGGCCCCTGCAATGGGGAGTCCTTACCTCCGTGTGGAATTTGTTGTCACACAAATACAACGACGTATTGATTGGTTTGAAAGGTTCAAAGTCAATGTTGACTTTCTTCTCTTTTCCTTCTTCTGTCACAATTGTTCCACAGTAAACAACCAGACCATTTGGAGGTACTACAAACAACACAATGCAGGTTTAGATCACTAAGGAATGTGACAAGCTGTACTCATCAAAAACTGACTGCCAGCAGAATGAAATGAAGATCCCAAACTTTTCATTTTCCCTTTTCCCCACCTCATTCCCTCCCAGGTCTCTACAATGGGAAACAAACTCATTTAGTGCACCTGTAGCAGATGTGCAGCTGCCTCTCAAAGCCATGAGTTTGCAAGAGAATTGTAAAGAGAGAGAGAGAAAGGCTGAGCAGCCCCTGCAGCTCTGCTGCTCCCCACACAGGGATTTGCAGAGTGCCCATCCCAGGGAAGGCCACAGGCCAGTGCAAAAGCAGCAACAATGAACTCTGCCAGGGCTCATCTGACATGGCCTGGGTCTGTTCCCCCCACAATGATGGCAGCTGCTCAATGCCATGCTTAAGGCACACAGAAGTTTCTGCCTGACAGAAAATTCCTACTTTAACACAAATGAACTGTTGCAGAATATCCAGCTCTTAAGCATGGCCAAGTTTAGCAGAGTAAGCACTAAGAACAGAATCATGACCCCACTCCTTCAAGACAAGGACCACCTTACTACTCTAGTCCCAAAGTCCACCCCTGAAGCAGCCATCAAGGCAACATACCTGGAATATCAGTGCAAAACAGCAGCACAGGCCAACAGATTTGATTAGCAGCAAACTGCATAGTGCAGGAACTTAAGGCTGCTTCCAAGCAAGGGAAGTGTGCCAGCATCCACACAAGCTAGGAGTTACCTTTGTTATAGAGTTTCAGTCTTTGCTGTACAGATGTGATGGCTCCCAGCACTGAAAGGCGATTCACCCGGGACTTGATGTTGGAGGCGGTGCCAAACTCGTCCGCTAACATCTTTGCCACTCGTGAGATCTGGTCTTTGGGGGGAATGATCAACGAGATCATGCTGGTACCATTGCTGGGGAGGGAAAACAGGGATGTGAGCAGGCAGCAGAGCAACAAGCACCCTCACACCAAATCCCACGCGCACAGCTCTCTCCTCCCTCCCCCAAGGACGCTGCTTCACTGTCGCCGGTGTAATTCCCCTTGTGCTGGACAACAATGGGAGAGGAAAGAAAGCAAAACCAAAACAGGCTCTGCTTCAGTGCTCAGCCTCCACCAAGCAAGTCCTCCAAAAGCTGCTTGTTCACTCCAGGGCACTACATGGGAAGAAAGAACACATGTACAGAGCAAGGGCTGCACAGACCAGGGGCTGTGAGCAGAAGGAATGGAAGCAGCTCCCAGCAGAGATTATTTAAAACAATGCAGCCACATACTTCAAGGACATCTCAGAGCCCATTTAATTTGTTCTCAGACAGCTGGAGCACCAAGCAGCCCAAGTGCTGTCTTAACATGTTGTTTTCCTCAGATTAATACAGAAAAAGGAATGGGAAGGATTCCTTTGTCACAGTGAGTCTTCTCTGCTTTCCCACTATCACTTTTGTCCCCAGAGCAGCTCATCAGCTCTGGCAGCTGCTTTAACTGAGCTGTGCTAAGCACACACTGCTGCTTCACCAGCACCAACCCCAGGCACAGAGTCAGGAGATAACACCCCACAAATCACAGGACAGGCTTAAATTAAAGGAAAATAAGTTTGATATTCATTTTTCCTAGGGCTTTGGGGTGGGTCTTGCAGAAATCTTAATCCCCAAAGCTGCCTTGTGGTTCAAATCCACGCAAAGCCAAAAGGAAAACTGGGGAAGTTCCCATCTGCCTTCCAGCAGGTACCTCCCATTTGCCATTGAAGTATCCCAGATGTCTGAAGTGCTGCCTCTGCATTGTCTCAGATTTAACCCAGACCTCATGCTTCCCATTAGAGTAATGGCATAAAAATCAAATCCCTCATCGTACCCTCCAGCTCTCTCAAGGGCAAAGCAGCTAAGCTCTGTGAAAAAGCCTTTTCTCAGGATTCTGAGTCAGAGCACCAACAAAGTGCTTTTCAGACATCAAACCCCAAGGTTTTGCTCTTTTCCATTTCTTATGGAAGGAGCCTACCCCAGCCCCTGCTCGCTGCTGTTTCAGGCTGGCACATACCAGTGTCCTGCTGAAGTGTTTGGGCTACAGAGGCAGCAGGGAAGTGCTTTAAAAAGCATCACTCCATTAGCTTCCTTACACAAGTTGTGCAGCCCTCTCCCAAAGATCCTCAATCCAGGCCAAGTTGAAATGGAGGCTGGTAGGTCAAATAAGTCCTTGACCTTAAAGACAACTAATTGGTTTTAATATCTGAGCTCCCCATCCACACCAGTGGAAGTCACAAAGCCACACTGGCCTGTGTTATTCCCAGGAGGAGCTCTGAGCCACGCTGGCAGCTCTCAGGTCACCCCAGCCAAGAATACTCCACAGCCCAGTCAATTAAAGCATTCCCCACCCAGTGACTGGCACCAGCCCTAGGGGACAGATAATGGCTATCACTCCCAGCAGGCTCCTTTGAGCAAGAGGCTGATCAGAACTAAAGCAACTCTTCCTCACTTCTGTGCAAGCAGCACTCCTGAGTTACCTTCTCCTCTCAAAGAACAAAGCCTTACAGCTTCCCAGAGATTAGAAAGCTCTGCCCATCACACCTAACCGCATCCCTAAGGGCATCCCAGTGTGCCAGGTGGGAGTGGGACTGTCACACCCCTGGGCACTCCATGGCTCTCCTGCTAGGAAGAGATTGCACACAATTTGTCCTGAATTGAGGACAGAGGGGAAAGAGCAGGGAGCAAGTCCTGTCACAAGCTGCCTGGAAGAGCCCAATCCCCCACCTACAAACCCCTTACAGGAATTTGCAGAGAGCAAGAAGCCCCCCCAGCCTCCTTTTCTCCAAGCTGAGCCCCTCCAGACCCCTCAGCTGCTCCTCACAGGCCTGACTCTCCAGATGCTTCCCCAGCTCTGTGCACAATAAGGAGGAAGGCTGGGTGTGCACTCCCAAGAGCAATTCCTCAGTAAAAAGCAATTCCTCAGTAAAAATCCCTTCAGTTTTCAACAAGCCACCCCCCTCAGATGCCAGCCCCTGGCCTTGTGCTGTGTTCCAGGGCCCCAGAAACACCGGTGCCAGCACAGAGCACCCACTGATCCTGCACACAGCTCCTCATGCACCAGGCAGGGTCACAGCACTGCTCCTCAGGGACATCCCACCCAAAGTAACACAGGGGCCTTCACAAGCCTTGGGGTTCATTACTGCAAACAAACAAATGTAAAGGGTCTCAGAGGATGCACTCCCCCTCATTTAAATCCCCAACTAGTTCAACACAGCACAGTACTGTACCTGGGCCAATCCTTCAGCAAATTCCAGTCTGGATTTGTATCCAAAAGCACCTTCCACTACCAACATCAAGTGCACTTCTCAGGTTTGGCATGCTTCACCACTATTCACACAGTCAGAGCTATTTCAGGCTCAGACCAATTCCTGCAGAATCCAGCAGAACAGCTGGCATGCAGCTTGCCACAGGAGCCACCTTGCAGGCTGCTGGAAGCCCAGAGCACAAGGAACCAGCCAGCTTGTCACCATGTCCCCACGCACCCAGCACTCCAAGGGATCACTAAACAAGCAAACAACCAAAGACTGAGACCAGCAAGGCAGCAGCTGAAGCAGATGGGCAGCAGCACTCAGGGAGGCTGCAGAACTCCCTCACATGCTGCCAACACTTCGTTATCTGACCATGCAAGAGCAGCTTTCCTCTCTCAAAGCAAGCTTGTACCTGCCTGTGACCCTAATGCAGTATGGCAGGGTCTAAAAAACCCTGTGCTGCATCTGTTAAACTCACCCCAAGGAGACAAAATGCAGCAAGGAGTTTCTAAGAAAGCTGCTGTTCAAAAACACTCAGAAAAAAATAGGTTATTCTGCAGAGTAAGGTAATTTCCAAGTCTCCTCTGGGTCTTTGCAGCCTCAACAAGATAAAGGGTATTTCTGCAAACCTCATCCTGTCCCCTCCAGAGCTGAGGGCTCCAGAGAACACTTACCTGGGAATGAGGGAAGGAATTTCCCCAGCACCATCCCAAGGCCTCCCAAAAGGGGGCACAGCTGCACCACACACCTGCCATGGGACACAGCCAGGTGACGTGGCGGGATCAGGGGCACTGCTCACACTGGCAGCTGGGTGTGCCCTGCATCCCCCTCAGCACTCCTGGGGAAGCATGGGCCCCATGCCAGGCTGTATCCTGGTATCACAGCACTGCTGAGCTTCCCCCTGCTCAGCACACACCAGTTCCACCACAGCAGCTGGGAGCTGATGCTTCTGGACCAAGCTGAGCCAGGGCCTTGCAGAGCTCCAGGCACTGCTGTCCCTGCTCTGGCCAGAGAGCTGCCAGTGCCATCCAAGGGTGGGATGCTCGAGATGTTTGTGATGGAGAGAAGCACATCCCAGCCCACAGGCCAGTGCCACAGGTGCCACTGCTCAGGGGACAGGGGCAGAGGAAACAACTGGGAGCATGAGGGGCAGCAGCTCACACACTCCCAAGAAGCAAGGAGGCAGCTCTGCCAGCCCTGGAGAGGCAGGAGGCCTGCACTGTCTGCACTGTGGGCACTGCTCACGGTGCCAGCCCTGCCAGATTGGGCAGTTAGCTCAGATTTAGCAGCACCTGCCATGAGCAGCATTAGGTACCTCCAGGAGAGAGGACAAGGATCAAAGCTCCGACCTTCCCACACCACAGCAGGTGAGCTCTAGCTTTCTCCCAGTGCGCTGGAGGGCTGTTTGAGGGATGAGGGGAAGGAAAAACAAGCACATTTCACTCTTGGGAGACAGTAAGTTCCTCAGAAAATCAAGGTTTGTGGATAGGACAGCCTTTCTATTATTAAAGCTCCAATGTGGCTACAGTTGGAATTTCAGACAACTGTGCCACCAAACAGCTTCCCCAGACACACAGAGACCTCAGAGCAACTGCTGACAGGTGATCACAGCGAGTGGCAGTGTGGGCAGCACTGAATCACCACCGACCCAGTGCCCAGAGCTGCAGGGCAGCTGTGCCACTCCTGAGGCAGCTGCTGTCCCTGCCAGGAGAGGAGGGGCCCCAGGAGCCCTCCCTGCTGTGTGTCAGGCCAGGAGCAGCAATGGCCCAGGGGATGTGGCACCAGCTGGGTCCCTGCTCGGCACCAGGAGTGGGGCCCTCTGCACGTGCTCTGTGCTCCAGCACCTGGAGGCACCAGAGCAGAGCCAAGGGCACAGAGCAGGCACTGCACCCTCCTGGCATGGGCTGCTTTCCATGACAGCTGCCAGAGGAGCCTCCTGCTCTGGGTGGCCATCTCACCATGTTCCTACCCCCCTGCCACCAGAAGGAACAGCTGAGCAGATCCTCAGACCTTCAGTCTCAGCTGGCACCAGACAGTAACGTGGTGGTTTTCCACAAGGCTCCTACCTCCTTACACAGCCCTGTGCTGTGAAATGGGTCCTGCCCTGGCACAGCCCAAAGCAGCAGCAGCCAGCACAGCTCCCCTCCAGCAGGCACACAACCACAGCACTCTGAGGAGGAGCACTCAATCGACCTGGCTCCTGCAATTTGGGCTGTGAGCTGGCACGGGAGAGCACTAATTTCACAGCCTGCTATATAAATAGCAGTGACTGGCCTGCCCTGTGCTATCAGAGAAGGCCTGACAAACAGCAGCTGAGCTGTAGCTGCTCCACAGTGAAACATTTCACACTAACAGCACACTGTGGAATGTGGGATACAGAGGCAAGGCAGAGCAGTCATTCCCTAGGACTCAAAATGTGCCTATTTTTACAGAGCACAGCTTCATGAGCATCCTGCTGTCCCCAGGAACCAAGGGCAGCAGCAGGCCTGTGTGTGACTGGCAGGAGCACAGAGCCAGCAGCTCCCAGATAATCTGATCCCAACCACATTCCACAGCCAGGAAGCTTTCTATGAACCAACTGCTGCCACACAGTGCCCCAAGCCATGGTACCTTCCCCAGGTACTCTGTGCTGCTCTCACCCAGGACTGGGCATCCCTGGGCAGGCACAGCCCATCCCACGGAGCC